GTCTTAGCTGGTGATAAATAAGATACAAACAGAAAAAAGAAAATCCCAAACCCACATCAAAGTGGGCGGCAACTGAGGTTGGCAAGAAGCCACCAGAGTGCATTAAGTGAGAGATCGTTTGCCTGCAGATGGAAGTGAGAGTCATTGAGTGCCGAGTCACAGTCACTGAATCACTGTGTGTACTTAAAGGAAAACTTCACCCACAAAATGACCAGTTGTACATCAGTTAGTCGTGTCGTGGTACACTGACTTTGGGAGGAAATTTTCTTGCATGCCTCCTCAGAAAATGGTTAACGTATTGATTTATTGATTGACACACTATATTATATTTCTGTTTTTTATGATTTTTTTTTTTTTTTTACATCATACTATACTTAAACGACATACTGCTATGACATTTTACATGATTTTTTCACGTCAAACTATATACTATGATGTTTTTCCTGATTTTTTTACATCATACTATGCTGTGACATTTTTCATTATTTTTTTTACGTCATACTATACTTTGACATTTTACATGATTTTTTCATGATTTTTTCACAACATACTATACTATGATGTTTTTCAGGATTTTTTTAAAGACATACTATACTTTGACATTTTACATTATTTTTTCATGATTTTTTCACACCAAACTATACTGACGTTTTGCATGATTTTTTTTTACAACATACTATACTATGACATTTTACATGATTTTTTCACGTCAAACTATATACTATGTTTTTCCTGATTTTTTTTACATCATACTATGCTATGACATTTTTCATTATTTTTTTACGTCATACTATACTTTGACATTTTACATTATTTTTTTCATGATTTTTTCACACCAAACTATACTATGACGTTTTTCCTGATTTTTTCACGACATACTATACTTTGACATTTTTCATGATTTTTTTTACGACATACTATACTATGACGTTTTGCATGATTTTTTTACAATGTACTATGACATTTTACATGATTTTTTCACGTCAAACTATATACTATGTTTTTCCTGATTTTTTTTTACATCATACTATGCTATGACATTTTTCATTATTTTTTACGTCATACTATACTATGACATTTTACATGATTTTTTCATGATTTTTTCACAACATACTATACTATTATGTTTTTCATGATTTTTTTTCACGTCATACTATACTATGACATTTTTCATTATTTTTTCATACCAAACTATACTATGACGTTTTTCATGATTTTTTCACGACATATGATACTATGACTTTTTTCTTTTATTGATACGTCATACTACTACTGAGTAGATTGGCACAAAAAAAAGCTTGAAACTAAAAACCTAAACCAAATTCATTAACTCTGTGACACCCTCCAACTATCTGCTAGATTCAGGTCACCATTTGTCCATTGTGAATGGGGAGAGACGCTGAATTGCTTACCCACGTCCACAGGTCTTATTAAACCAAAACTCAATCTGATGATTGAATGCTACGCACAAATTTGTTCTGCTAACATTTCATGAATGAGACCCAATGTGTGCATTTAAATTTCAGTCTTATTAATCCAGTCGTATGCTCAGTACTTCCCAAACACATGCATATTCACTCAAAAAACAAACAAACTTAGTTTTGGAGTCTGGCTTTGAAGAGAGCAGGTAAGTTTCACTTTCAGTTTTACATTGTAATGTTTTAGTCAAAATGCATGTTTGGAAAGTACTGAGCACACGACTGGATAAATGAGACTTGGATTATACAGCACAAGTTGTGTGAGAGTTTGTTAACAGATGTTTTGATAAAGTTTTGTTAAACTTGGTCCCCACTCAATCAATAAAACAATATGTTCAGCGTTTTCTGTTGAGGCATGCCAGACAAATATAGTTTCCATCACAAATTCAAGGTAACACAGCACGAGGGATCGGCCATTTGCTGGTAGAAATATTCCTTTAAGTTAAAAATGTACTACTCCGTATGTTCTAATTACATACCAAATGAGAAATAATACATTGTGGTCAAACTCACAGTTACTGTTCAGAGTTCTTTAAGCTCTCCTGAAAGTGGTCTAATAAATGTCGAGGTGCATTTTGCCTCATTTTGTTTGTTTTGCTTGAAGCCAGGTGGTGGAACTATAACCCACTGCCATGCAGAGTGATGTGTAACTCAATAATTTGCAAGCAGCCAGCAAGCCTAAAGGCATTCTCCAAAGTGACATTGGTAAACACAAAACAGATGCTTTGCTTGGGGAATTGGTTCCTAGAGCCCGTGTGCAGTGCTTAAACATGTCATTGCCAAAACTGACTTAAATTATTCAAAATACCAAAGAGAAAAAAAGCGTCCCATTAATGAAATACAGTGAGACCAATCATGCTGTCTTTAAAATGTGAGCAGGAATTTGAAAATAGCAGGATACTGGGAACACACACACACTCTCTCTCTCTCTCTCTTAAACTGCACTGTGTTTGAATGTGCCACTCAACAGTAAACAGACTGTCAGTTGGTCTTCAAAGCTCTGAGAGCTGCTGCTTTTCCATCCCACCAGGTAGTTAATTGCATTTATTTCCAAGTGTAACTCATATTCTTGATAGCTGGAATGGAAACCAGCAGGACTCTTGAGCTGTGTCTCACTCCGCAAGTGCATTTCAAAAGCTAGAACATTACAACAGGTTGACAAGGCTGAAGTTACCATTAAACCTTAGCTATAAAAGGTAATTTACACAACAGTAGTTCTTTGCCTGATAAAACCAAGTATTGTTGCCATGTATACCAAACATTCTGTGGAAAAAGTCATCCATTCATTTTCCGTAACCACTTATCCTGTTGAGGGTCGCAGAGGAGCTGGAGCCTATCCCAGCTGACACTGGGTGAGAGGCAGGATACACCCTGGACAGGTCACCAGATTATCACAGGGCTGACACATAGAGACAGACAACCATTCACACTCACATTCACACCTACGGACAATTTAGAGTCACCAATTAACCTTATCTGGGGGAAGCCAGAGAAAACCCACAATGACACGGGGAGAACATGCAAACTGGGAACCCTCTTGCTGTGAGGCGACAATGCTAACCACTACACCACTGTGCTGTCTGTTAAAAACAACCAATTCAATTTTATTTATAAAGCCCAATATCACAGATCACAATTTGCCTCAGAGGGCTTTACAGCATACGACATCCCTCTGTCCTCGGACCCTCACAGCAGAAGATATACAAAAATACAGATATTGTCTTTTAGTTCATGCTCCCAAATTACTTGGCCACATCATGATCCTATGGTGAATTTTCCACTCATACCATTTGGCAGCCCAATTGCTTAAGAAAAAGTTGGTATTATATGTTTCTGCGAAACACAGATTTGTTTATAAGTTTAGTACATGTCATGTTAACATTTCTAAATTGACTTAGTATAAGAGCTGACTTTGTCACTGGGCGGTGGAGGGGATGGTGACACGTTGCTGAGTTTCCACTACTGGTAGTGCCACAATTCAATTCAATTTTTTTTTTTTTTTATTTATTTATTTATTTATTTATTTAAATCAAGACTTCGCTGTGTTTCCTGCCAGGATGATGCCAGGAAAAGCAGTTTTTTTTCACCGAGACATTGCTGTATTTCTTGGCTTGATTGTGCAACAACAGTTCTGTTGAAATATAAAGTAACGTAAAGTCTCCATGCATTCGCTACATTACACCCACACGGAGTCTGTTCCTACAGAATTCAAATGATGCCACTTAAAAAATACTGTCTATCAAATTATAAGCCAAAAAAAACAACAACACTCTTCTGGATCATTGCTTAAAAACAGACTTGCACCGATTTATCGGCAGTGCTCGGAATCAGGCTGGTTTTCACGTGATCAGCCATGACCTGCGACCGGCCGGTCAGTCTAAAATATGCCGATTTAAAATGACGGTCAAATTCCCGGTGCACCGCATGATTGACATGTAACATCAGCAGCGTACACACACATGTGCAACTCACGGCTTGGGCAATGTGAGGAAGTGAAACATGGGCGGCTTCTCACCTTAATCATTCACACACCCACACATCAAAAGAGAGAAGGAGAAAGTTGTTAACTGTCCGTGTTAAACTGAACTGCGGAGCTCTCACTGCTGCACTGTGTCGCTTGAAACTGACGAGGCGCGTGTCCGCGTGCTTACTGGCGGGCAAGTCCTGAAGACCTATGTGAATTTTCCACAGGAGATATTTTTACTTTTTTGTCTATTCAAGAAATTACCCACAAATGCTATACACCAAGAATTCTTAATTCATTTATCTTTGTTTTTATTTATATATGCCTTTTTTTACTTATTTATTTTAATACTGTAGCTGAAGTTATATTTGAGCAAAAAGGAAAATGTTTCCTAACCTGTTTCACTGTTTGTGTTTGTTTGTTTGAGATGATTATTGAAAAGTTGGTTGTATCTTGGTTAAAATGTTCTAATAAAGCAAAGATAGAAAATACTGCAATATCGTGTGTTCTGTAAAGTGGTTTGAAAAAAATTAAATCGGCCAAAATCGGAATCGGCCATCCAAACACTCTGTAAATTGGAAATCGGAATCGGCCCAAGAAATTGTAATCGGTGTAAGTCTACTTAAAAATATGTTTAAAAATAAAAGAAAGTTACGTATGGGTCTGATAATTCATGTATTATGTATTGTACGTATTCGTGTTTGCAGAAACATACAATGCCAACATTTATTCTGGATATCAGGTTGTGTTTGGGGAAAATGGAAGGGTTCAGATTACTAGCATTTAGTCCGTCAAACACAACACCTTTATTTAGCTGCATCAACTAAAGTAGCCCCTAAAATAAGACAGAAGTTGTGTGGTGTTGAGAAGTGGGACTGAGAGAGGAATCAGACTGATTACAATGCCCAGGAGTAACCATCAATATTATCTTTAAATAACTTCCTCTGCATCCCAAAGATATATTTAGGAGCGTTTCCTGCTCAGATTACAGACCACCACATGTCTACTGTGGAATATTATTGTGTCAGTCTAATTAAGAATCTTTATCTTCTCAACAGCAAAGGAGCCAAGCGCAGACTGGAAAATCCACCACAAAGCTCTCAGACGACAGCGAGGAGGCAGAGGGAGGCAGCAGCAAAAAGACAAAGCCGCATAAATACAACTGAGCGGACAGCGTATCATCCAAAATGCAGAGCTCCTGCATTGCCTGAAGGATCTTTCTAAGAGCACACACTTGCGCACTCTCACAAAAACATATGTGCGCCCACACACACACACACACTCTCACATACACACGCAAACACACACACACACACACACACACACACACACACACACACACACACACACACACACACACACACTGAGCTACACATACACATATCAGCATTGTTCGCAAAAGCTGAGACACTGGAATTGTCAACAAATTTCAAACTGTCATCTGCAAACCTCCATAGTAAAATGGCATGCATTCTAGAAATTCTTTTTAAAAAGGTAGCAATGGCACTGGTAACTTGTTTCATGATTGTTCATTTGTTGTTTACTTATCTGAGTTTTATTCTGAGTGAGGACACTGCTTTCTAAATGTGTGATCTTTCTAGAAAAATCCCTTTGCACTGGTGAGGTCTGACAATGTATCCTGTGATAAGTATATCAATTGACAAATAAAAAAAATACTACTACTATTACTACTACTACTACTACTACTACTACTACCCAACTTAGAATATTGTTTGTCACTCATTGTAGCAAGGTTAATTTACTCCTCCACATTTTGAAATATAGAGGCTCAAGTTGGCTGGCCAACTGTTCAACATTTAATATTTCAGCACTCTTTCTGCCTTTAACACTCCAGAGGCGAAGAGCCAAAGACTCACAATGGGTCGTCTCCCTGAGAATGTGCCATGCACTGAGTAGTAACTCCTAGCTACATGTATCTGTGTTATCTGACCTTTCTGTGTCCTTTCAATAAACTGTAATTTTCAGTAAATGTGTGAAGAATAAATGGTTATTCGTGGGAAAGAAATGAGTGAGTATGTTTGTGATCAACAGAGGGAAGGGTTGCACGGTGCAAAGAGCAATCAGGATTTATGCAATGTGAATATTAATTACTCCTCGAGCACTACAAGAGGAGCCTGCCGAGGAAGCACTGACACATCCGAGGTCAGAAGAAAATTTGTATTTTCCGATAGAGAAATTATTCATCAAATCATTTTTAAACATTGACTTTGTTGAATAAATCTGATACAAATGAGGAAGGTCGCAGCGTGACCTTTTGTGTCTTAGCTGTCCAAAACGCAAATAGAGCCTCTACTTACTGAGTATTTCTGGATATTCTGTGACCTGGACGACTACAAATCTTTATCCATGAGTTGTAGAAACTGAGATTAATTTGTCAGTGTATAATTTCTATGGTTTAATAAAGTGTTACAGTACCTGAGCACTAAAAGCCACTAAATGTGCTGCCTCTGTACACTGCTGTATAAAGGTGACACCAACCAACTTTTAATTTGTTTTTCAGTTATGCAAAATGTATCCACTAAAGATTATTTTCATAATCAGTTAATCTGCTCATCTTTTTTGTCCCATTAATCAAAAAAACATCACAAAAATGAGGAAACTGCCCAAAAGGATATCCCAGAGTCGACTGTGATGTCATCACATTTTGTCTCACCAACAGTCCAAAAGCCAAAGATTTTCAATGTACTATCCTGCAAGTCTCACTTTTGAGAAGACTGAAACAATATCAATCAATCAATCATTTACTCAGGCAGCAAGCACTGCAGCCGCCTCTGAGCAGCGTATCGCAGTGATCTGTGACAGGACCAGGACAGATACACACCTTCTTTCCATCTCTCACCAGAGCCGTCTGCTCCATCAGGTCAGCATGTAGAACAAGAGTCACCTGAGGCCTGCACTACGAGGCAGGATTTGGAGTTAGCAAGGTAACTGGGTTTTCAGTACTAAGAAGCTGGTTCTCTTTTTACCATGGTAAATCACTGTGGTAACCTATGCTGAACAGCTAACCTGCTCCGGAGCAGGTTAACTTCAGAGTATTGGATCACAACCTGTCAACACCATGACCTCTGACCAATCACTGAAGGAAAAGGTATCTACAGAAGAAAGTCCAGAGTCTCAGGTAAAAAAAGAGGAACCTATATATTGTTGCAGGTCTGTAGAATCATTTCACTGTTACAGGGCTCTATATCTTGGTTTTAGAACAGAGCTCCCGACTAACAGAGAGATCATTTACAACACTAAACACGTCATTTTAGCAGAATTTTAACTTATGCAAACTTTATTTTAGTCCACAGTGACAGTGCTGCTACTTTTACACTCTAATAATCACTGCAGCTCAAAATAACATGAGACACCTGTGTGATGAGAACTAGCAAAAAAATATGTTTTTTAAGAAAAACAATCCACACACTGTTAATTGACTCCTGTTATTATTAAAGCAACATTTCAGTCAGACAGACCTCATCAGTCATTAACTACTTTTCCACCCTTTACTTCAGCAGCAGAAACAGTCTGGTGTTACCTAAAAGTCTTTGTGACATATGCAGACTTGCTTCATCATCATCCAACTAAAAAGCAAAAAATACTCTATATTAATGTCACATGTAGCCTAGCGATGTGTAATTTAAGTCTCAGCTTTGATGTTTCAACCCTTTCCACAACAAGATTACAGCATTGTTTAATCCCACACCACTGACATTTTACTGTCTCGCAGTCCCATACATTTCCTGTACTGTATCATCTCAATAATATGAGGTAGCCTTCTTCATTCATAGTTCTGATGATGTCGCTTGTAATTAACATCCCCTGCCTCACTCACATGAACGTGCTCATTGCTGGACAGGAAAACTCAGAGCTGACTGAACTAGTTGATAACCAGCTTTGTAGTACCGGTTATCCAGAATGTCAAGGTTAGTGAAGCTAGATAACGACAGGGTATCCTGGATAAGTTGAGCTGGCTTCGTAGTACAGGCCTCTGGTTGAACGGTGCTGTCCAGGACATGGCCAAGTTTCAGTGAATCAATGGCTAATACAGCTCCTGATATCTAGTTGTAAACTAAAGTGACATGGAAGTTATCCAGCGCCTGCACAATGGCCTGCAGGATGCCTCCTCATCTACTCCATCTATTCCTCGATGTTTACTGATGTTTACATTTGAAACCTCGACCTGGCTAACTAGCAGCTAGCTACAAGTCAGCAGACGGAGATTTTACAGACTGGTGAGTTGATTTCCACGTCTCATTAAGTGAGTCACAGCCACGAACCTCACCATCCAAAGCCAACCACAACAAACACCAACAAGACTTGCAAAACAGACTTAAGAGCATAAAGTTCGCAAAAATATAGCAGATCTGACAGAGAGATGACTGAAAATATCCGCATCTATACACGTCAATAGCCTAAATGTCCAGAATTTTGGATGAACATTGACTTAAAGGATAACTTTGGTATTTTTCAAGCTGGCCCTATTTCCCCATGTGTATGTGTGCGTAAGATTCATAGGTACAACTCGTTTTAAAATTGGTTCAGTATTGAGGGAGGCGGATGCAACCGGGAGCCGCGAAACGAGCTAAAACCGTAACGGGGGCAAATGCGTCCCGTATAAGTTTGCGCATTAAAAGGGCTTTTTTTCGCCACTGACCGGTTCAGATCGCCAGTGCTATCTCTGTAAATAGCATACTAAGCGTTTCCCTTACCTCTGGGCTGTGACGTCATCTCGCGAGAGCTTTGCTCCACTATGTCTGTAGCTCTCTCTACTCGTGGGCAGCCGTTTTCTTGAGGAAGAGGTGTTTCGGGATTGGATGTCTTCTCTTCTTCGGCTGGCAGTAGTCATCTTGGGAGAAGTGAGCACTGCAGACCCGATGGTCTGCAAGGCGCAGTGTCTGGAGAGGAGTGTTAGCATCCATTTGTAGCACAACTAGCCACAACTTCAGCATCTCGCCGTCCGACAAAGGCAGCCTATGAAAGCTGTACGGGGTGTTGCGCGACATCCTGTTCTTGCAATTCGGATAAGCACAAACACGAACCATTGCTTTCAATCGATGCAGTAAAACTCTCAACTGTACTCCGGGACAACCAGCGCCACTCTGAGCGGCGCTCTGCACGGCTCCTGTTTTCTTCCGGCAACAAGCAAAGCTCTCGCGAGATGACGTCACAGCCCAGAGGTAAGGGAAACGCTTAGTATGCTATTTACAGAGATAGCACTGGCGATCTGAACCGGTCAGTGGCGGAAAAAAAGCACTTCTAATGCGCAAACTTATATGGGACGCATTTGCCCCCATATCTACCTCGCGGCTACCGGCTGCATCCGCCTCCCTCAATACTGAACCAATTTTAAAACGAGTTGTACCTATGAATCACACGCACACATACACATGGGGAAATAGGGCCCAGGTTGAAAAATACCGAAGTTATCCTTTAAATAATTAATCGCTTGTCAAAACAGTTTGCAATTTTCTGTTGACTGAATAATAGAAAATGGATTAATAACTGCAGCTCTGTTGTTTATGTTTATCAACTCTGGGTTGTAACTGGGAACAATTAAGTTTTATTAAATTGTATTTAAAAACAATACAGCTATTACACATTGACAGCAAGGGCATACTTACAGAGGAAACAGCACACAAAGCAAAGAAAGTGCTGTGGCATTCAGGGATCATGATCACAAATATGACTAAAGGTGTGTTGAGACTGAGCACAAAGCAGGTTTTAGAGGTGCCCTGATTGCTTCTAAGTCAATGCAAAGTGGATGCTAATTATCCCTGTGAGGCACAAACTGAGGCAAAGACGCGACCGGGTAAGTTAAAATGCTTTCAAATTATCCAAACATTTTGTGCTGATGCCGAGGCTGAAAGACTTCACCTCATGAATGTCTAGCAGAAGGAAAACAGAGAAGAAACTGGAAGAGACAGGAAGAAGTGGAGTTCTCAGGGGGGTTCTGAGATCAGTCATTCATGCAGCAGTCACACAATAAACAAAGGTGAATAAACAAGGAATTAAAAAACAGCTCAGCAGTCAAATCTGCACAGGAAGTAGGTAAATAAACAAGAAAAATAGCTCTAAAGCATAAAAATTTGTGTTTTCAAGAGTCACAGCCACTCCCTAACCTTCCAGTGTCTCTTTATCACCCTACAATACCCATCAGTCCCCAACAACAGGTTATCTATTCATATGAAAGAGCCTTAAAGCTGCATTCTCCCTAATGGCCAGCAGGGGGTCACGCCTCTGGTTTCAAAAAAGATCTGATTGTACAGAAGTTTTTACCTTAGTAAACATTTTCCTATTGAGTTTATGGTGTCAATCGCTGGTTTCAAGTCGTCTTCAATACAGTAAAGCCACCATTTTCCAACATTATCCACCAAACACTTTCAGTATAGTACCTTTGGAACCAAAAGGAACCCTTCAGACATGGTACCTAGACCCTAGGTCCGTTGGCCACCGCAAACAGTACACTTAAATGTGGGTGGGGTTGTTGTCACTCACTGCTCCATCCAGCACTCACTGTATTTCCTCATGTATTACTGGTGACACAATTCTTCAAATAAACACAAGAAGTTTGTGCTCTAGAGAAAAGATCAGCACTCAGTGAATAACCTCCTAAGCCCTATGATAAGCTATTATGGCAAGGCTTAACTATACAGACCAGTGAGCAGTGATGACTAACATGTCTTTGGGGTCATCGGGTGGGAACCTCCTTTCACCAGTGTTTCGTCTAGTTGGTCCCACGACACCTCCAGGAGGCTAGACAGTGATCTCTGGCGTCCCAGAGACACTCCCCTAATGCCAGCTCTCACTGCTCCCCGCACCAACCCAACAACCTCCTTTACCTTACTTACACATGGCTTTCTCA